CAATGATTCTTTGACAGTGTGCAAAGAGTGCGTATCATTTTGTCATTTTTTTATGCATTTCAGTTTTGAGTAGAGTGAAAGAGATAGAACCAAAATATTCTAGTACATTTGGTGAAAATGCTAGTTCAATCCAATAGTAGTGTTGCCATGTGGTACAATCCAGTAGTAGTGGTGTTGCCATGTGGTACACTGAAAAATTGCAATAGCAGGTTAGTCACCAAAGTTTTCGAGCCGCTCCGTCTGTCACTTCGTTTGTGGTGTGAGGGAAGGGGGTGAGTTAAACGTTGCGATATGAGAGCGAATAGAGGCAAATAAATAGGGAAGACAACACCATGACCAAAATAAGTAACCAATATATGCGGCTCACACTTAACTTGTTCTATTTCTTTCTTTCTTTCTTCCTATAATGTACTAATATTAACTGCCTGAGGACAAATGGGAACACGACCAGAAGTTCAATAGCAGAAAATTCGAACAAGAAAAGAAGAATTCAACTTGCACCGGCAAGAGGAAGCAGACAGAAAGGATCATGCCGGTTGGAGACAGCCAATGTATACTGGACGAAGCTTGTATCTAGGTTTTCCGTCGTTTAGGTCGTATGTGCAGGAAACCGTAAGTAGGATAAGAATCGTAAAAGGTGTGTGCTTGCTTGATAAGATCCTAACTTAACTTTAAATACACGGTAGGAATCGAATATCCATTTATGATTAAGGTTTTGCCCATTTTTCAGTGGGAGTGGCAATACTCATTGATGAGTGATTTATCGTACCCATTTATTAGTAACTGTTAGCAGCTAATGATTAATTGATTTACCTATTTTAGAATTACCTATACTTCACATCAGAACCTCATTTCCTTCAATTACTACTCCGTCGCAGCACACACCTTATATGGATCGCTAACCTTTATTTAGTTTCAGCATTTTCGACATTATAATCAAAAGGTGAGTTTTAAAAGTATAATTACCATGCATATAGATAAGTTAATGTACCAGAACCTGGACGGACACGAGCCTACCCAGGGGAGGACCCGGATACGACCACCCATGTGTGTCTAGAGTATCGCACGAGCTGACGAGTGCAACGGGAAGGACAGTAGGTGTATAGACTAGGGGGTTGGTCCCTAGATAAGCCTTCTTAGCGGAAGGCACAGCCTATGCACTGAACAACTACAATTACAACAATTTTCAACATTTTAGGCCATTTTCAAATGTTTGTCGAGATGTCCAGCAACGAGATTTTTTTTTCATGATTGTATATTAAAAAACAAACAATTCATTCTCAGATATGGTAGCTGTCAGACTTATCCGTTTCTATCTAGAGGCAGCGGAAGAGAAGCACGTTGATGTGGTCAAATGAAAGATTTGTTGAGATAAGAAACAGTATATATTTATTATTTTATTTTACAACTCATATTATTTGAATACATTGAATAATTTGGGTGTATCGTTTGAATTAGAGAATATTTTTACTGCAATTTGGTTGTTTGAAACTGGAATATAGCAATGATATTTTTGAGTTCCAGGAATTGGTTTCACTTTCTTAAAAATTGGATCAAATTCCGTGTCAGCCTTTTTGTATTCTTCCGTAGATACAGTATGCAAAAAAAGTTTATCCACCTCCCTACCAATTAACATTTATTTTTGTTTTTCTGTTGAAAATCAGTTTAATTTGATGAGTGTTCCGCCATGATTTATCAATTTATGTTTATTTATCACATTGCCATAGAAAATACGGCGTTTATATCTTTTCTTGAGATTTCATGTGATAAACTATGAAAAATGGTAAAAAATTACGCAAAAAAAGTTTATCCACCCCGAAACAAATACTATGATTTAAGCGAGGGGGGCGACACATCTAAATCTCAAGTCTAGATGCTCAACAAATCTCACACTAGGGAATCAATCTTCGAAAAATCTTCTTTCATTTCTCGCATCTACTTGCATCGCGCATCATCTTTTTGCAGGAAATCTTCAGAATCGTCGTCAATCTTCTTTCTATCTACTCAGCGTGCTCTCAGCTAGCCACAGCAAAACACAATCTTTCCTGCATCGTAGATAGAGTCGTCCCCCTCGGATTTAAGTGTGTTTTACTAAGTTTTAGTGTGTATTCTGTAACTTTATCGAATGTAAACATTGTGTCTATCTGTCATTTAGTGCTCTTGAAGTTTTCGTGCTCAAAATTTCAGTTTTGTGTTCAAAATTGGAAGTTATTTGTTTCAAAATGCCTAAAAAAGATCAAATTTCGATCAGAATCCGAAATTTGATTATTGAACATCACAAAACTCGCAAAAGCTACCGTGATATTGCCGATATTGTCCAGATTCACAAAGATACGGTCGCTAGAATTGTGCAGATGTACAAAAAGCGTGGTTCTATCTCACCAGCTAAGCGATCGGGCGTCCTTCAAAGACAACTGGCCGAATTGACAGAGCTATCGTGAAGAAGGCGGAGCTGGACCGGGGACTATGAGCTCCAAAATTTGCGAAACAGATTGAAAGCGAGTTTTCCATTTAACTGACATCACAATCCGTACGAAATCGTCTTCATAAGAAAAGTCTTAAGGGCAGAGTAGCTCTTAAGAAGCCATGGTTTTCCGCAAAAAATTTAAAAAAAAAGATTGAAGTGGGCCCATGACCACATTTCATGGACTAGTGATGATTGGAATAACGTGATCTGGTCAGACGAGACGAAAGTAATGCTATTTGGGTCACCATTGATACCATCAGACCCAAATAGCATTACTTTCGTCTCATCATGTTCCATGAAATGTGGTCCTGAGCCCACCTCAATCTTTTTTTAAAATTTTATGCGGACAACCATGGCTTCTTAAGAGCTACTCTGCCCTTATGACTTTTCTTATGAAGACGATTTCGTACGGATTGTGATGTCAGTTGAATGGAAAACTCGCTTTCAATCTGTTTCGCAATTTTTGGAGCTCATAGTCCCCGGTCCAGCTCCGCCTTCTTCACGATAGCTCTGTCAATTCGGCCAGTTGTCTTTGAAGGACGCCCCGATCGCTTAGCTGGTGAGATAGAACCACGTTTTTTGTACATCTGCATAATTTGAGCGACCGTATCTTTGTGAATCTGAAAAATATCAGCAATATCATGGTAGCTTTTGCGAGTTTTGTGATGTTCAATAATAAAATTTCGGAAACTGATCGAAATTTGGTCTTTGTTGGGCATTTTGAAACAAATAACTTCCAATTTTGAACACAAAACTGAAATTTTGAACACGAAAACTTTCAGAGCACTAAATGACAGATAGACACAATGTTTACATTCGATAAAGTTGCAGAATACACACTAAAACTCTGTAAAACACACTTAAATCATAGTATCCGTTTGGGGGTGGATAAACTTTTTTTGCGTAATTTTTTACCATTTTTCATAATTTATCACATGAAATCTCAAGGAAAGATATAATCGCCGTATTTTCAATGACAATGTGATAAATAAATATAAATTGATAAATCATGGAGGAACACTCATAAAATTAAACAGATTTTCACCAGAAAAACAAAAAAAAATGTTAATTGGTAGGGGGTGGATAAACTTTTTTTGCATACTGTACATAACAAAATGACATTTTTGTTTGAAGATCTTCTTTACGACTATTTGCCCAGTCGTACAGTTGTTTAGGTTTCGTTATAGCACAAACGAAGTGACAGACGGAGCGGCTCAAAAACTTTGGTGACTAACCTGCTATTGCAATTTTTCAGTGTACCACATGGCAACACCACTACTACTGGATTGTACCACATGGCAACACTACTACTGGATTGTACTAGCATTTTCACCAAATGTATTAGAATGTTTTGTTTCCATCTCTTTCACTCTACTCAAAACTGAAATGCATAAAAGAATCATTGTACACAAAATCAACTTTGTTCAAATCAGAACAAAAAAACTAACCCATCTGGTGGATGATGGCACAGGCTTCCAAGAAAATTCTATTACAGTGAACCACATTATTTAAATGGATTTCTTCGCCAGTTAGTCGTCTGTCACTTCGTTTGTGGTTATAGGGTGCTCGTGTTGCTTATCTAAAATGGCAACCAGTCTCTTAAGGGTACCGCCAATCGCATCACAAGGACCTTTGCCGTGTGAAGTTGCAAAAATATGCCATTCAATTTCTACATTATGCTTATTAAATTTTTTATGTTTTTGTATTGTGATACTGCTCCATCAGACATAAAAATACACTTTTGGACTGTTATTTGCGACTTTAAAAATTCTAATAATTTTGAGATAAACAACTGAACTGCTACTGTGTCATGCTTTGAAATGTCCGAAATAACCACAAAACTTAAATGGTTTAGTGTACCATTATCATTAAAATAAACGACAAATGGATGAATTGTACATTGAGAATTATTCCAATGATAGCTTTGAACCTCATCTTGCAGAACAAATGTGTAGTTTTCAGAAAAGTCGCAAATAACAACGACTTCGCCATCTTCTAGTGTTTGTTTTTTTGTTTTTAAGAATTCTGCCTGCTTATTTAAAAAAAAATCGTGATACATTAATTTGTCTAACTTTTCCGTAAAGAAAAATGAAAAATCTTCAGAAGGCAAAGTATTCAACTCAATATTACACCTATCTGTCGTAGTCCACTGTTCAAATGACACTTCTAATATTTGTTTCTCTTCCAATATTTCTAATAATTTTGTTTCGGATAATGACGTATCGTAACAATTCATGCACGTTCGAAAATGGCAAAAGTCTGTTCTAGATTGTAAATCGCAAAGAAGTTGTTCCATATAGATAGTGCGATCACACAATATGCGATCTTTTTTCATGCTGTTCAACATTAGATTACCATTTTCGTGAATCGTACATACACAAACATTATGAGATCCTGATTTACTAAGAAGTTTACAATTTTTTGGCCGTAAGGCTGCAAATGAGCTAAAGCTAATATTGATATCTTTATGGGTTTCCGTAAAATGCAAGTATGTTTCTTTGAGCGACATTGTTAGTAGACGTTTTTGTATTACCTGGCGTACACCACCCGTCACTACAGAGACATAATCTCTTGGCCCGGCATAACTCTGCTTATATCGTCATCTTCGTAGAATTTCACAACTGTATCTACTAACTCTGCTCTCAGTCCATGTCCTGCTTTGGAACGAAGGGAACATAATATTCCATCTTCGTCGACCAAATCTTTTACCTGGGAAGAAAGAAAATGAAAATTATTTTTAATTTTTCCTTTATGGTGTTTAAAAAAATATAAATCTTACCTGTGCTGCAGTATATCTGTTGACACCGAATTCATCCATGATTCTTTGTACAGGCCAAGATTTCGGTAATACGGATAATACTTGTGTCTTTTCTTCTCGAGTGCATTCCGGATCTACGTATTTTTCCTTTAGTTGGCTCATCATTTCATCGTAATCCTTAGCCTTGGCGTTGAGGATTCCTTGGTCATCATCTTCCGAAAGATCGAATATGTGTCGCTTAACCCCATCCATGATTTCTTTGGTTTTCTGTTGAGGATAACACGCGCTTCTCAGCCTCTTTGTCGTAATCGGTGATACATGGATACCCATGATGCCTTGGTTGAATGTCTCAATATTATGGGACAAACAGATTCTATTAACAACAGAATCTGCTGAAGTCGATGAAGCCAGAGACGT